ATTAATAATTTTAATAATTTAATAATTTTAATATTTTTAATTTTCGGGGAGCCTCTCAGGGCAGAAATTAATAATTTTAGTAATTTTAATAATTTTAATAATTTTAATAATTTTAATAATTTGAATAATTTTAATAATTTTAATAATTTTAATAATTTTAATAATTTTAATTTTCCGGGAGCCTCTCAGGGCAGACATTAATAATTTTAATAATTTTAATAATTTTAATATTTTTTCTAATTTTAATTTGCAGGGAGCCTCTCAGGGCAGAAAATAATAATTTTAATAATTTTAATAATTTTAATAATTTAATAATTTTAATAATTTTAATAATTTTAATAATTTTAATAATTTTAATTTTCCGGGAGCCTCTCAGGGCAGAAATTAATAATTTTAATAATTTTAATATTGTTAATAATTTTAATTTTCCGGGAGCCTCTCAGGATTATTAAAAATATTAAAATTATTAAAATTATTAAAATTATTAAAATTATTAAATTATTAAAATTATTAATTTCTGCCAACGTCCTTTTGAAATCCGACCGTAGGGTCTATTTAGAAGCCGTGCTCTTCTAGGTTTATTACATTTAGGTATATGGACCTGTATTATAAATCACAAGCCCCAGCTTCTAAATAGACCCGGTTTTGCTCACACACGGGGGGGGGGTCTTAGCCACGAAGAAATTACCCTTAGCCACGAAGAAATTACCCTTAGCCACGAAGAAATTACCCTTAGCCACGAAGAAATTACCCTTAGCCAACCCTTAGCCACGAAGAAATTACCCTTAGCCACGAAGGAAATGACCCTTAGCCACGAAGGAAATGACCCTTAGCCACGAAGAAATGACCCTTAAATGACCCTTCAAGAAATTGCCCTTAGCGAGAAAATTGCCCTTAGCCACGAAGAAATGACCCTTAGCCACGAAGAAATGACCCTTAGCCACGAAGAAATGACCCTTAGCCACGAAGGACTATAGGGTTTAAATATATATAGAAAGAGAGGTTTAGGGTTTAGGGTTTAGGGTTTAGGGTTTAGGGTTTAGGGTTTAGGGTTTAGGGTTTAGGGTTTAGGGTTTAGGGTTTAGGGTTTAGGGTTTAGGGTTTGGGGTTCGGGGTTTAGGGTTTAGGCTAGGGTTTAAGGTTTAAACCCTACACCCTAAACCCCAAACCCTAAACTTAGGGAGCCAAGAACCCCGAAACCCCTAAACCCGAAAACCCTCCAAACCCACCTTCCTGATCCCCAGAACGACCGAACCCCCTAAACCCTAAACCCTAAACCCTAAACCCTAAACCCCTATAAACCTCAAACCCTGAACCCTTTTTGAACACGAAAATCCCACACCCTCTGCTCCTGAAGATGTCCAGGGTCATGAAGATGATCTTGTCGGCGATGAAGAACCTTTTCAACATGCTTACGGTTTGGGGTTTAGGTTTAGGGTTTAGGGTTTAGGGTTTAGGGTTTAGGGTTAGGGTTTAGGGTTTAGGGTTTAGGGTTTAGGGTTTAGGGTTTTGGGTTTTGGGTTTTGGGTTTTGGGTTTAGGTTTGGGGCTGAAGGGTGGTAGGGTTTAAGGGTTGAGGGTTTGGCCTTCGGACTTTGGCCTTAAAGCTTAGGGCCAAGTCACGAGTCAAGGTGCAAGTTTGGGCTTTTGGGGATGTAGGGTGTGTGCGTAGGCACCTTCTTGCTATCCCTAAACCCAAGCCCCCAAAGCCTAACCCCTAAACCCTAAACCCTAAACCCTCAACCCTGAACCCTGATCCGCCATGCGGCAGGCGAGTACTGGACTGCTTGAACAAGTCCTGCCCAGAAGGTGCCAGCTCAAAGAAGGAGGTGTACACTTCCTTCCTGACAGTGTTTAGGAGGTTGAGGGTGTGGGGTTTAGGGTTTAGGGATTTAGGGTGTAGGGTGTAGGTTTTAGGGGTTTAGGGTTTAGGGTTTAGGGTTAGGGGTGCAGGTTTTTGGGAAGTTTAGGGTTTCGAGGCGCCCCAAATCATCAAACCCGGCCTTTCGGCTCTCGACCATTGCCTTCTCCCTGCCTTACGAAACCACTCTCCAACTTTTGGGGGCGACTCTACACCCTAGACCCGAAACCCCAAGCCTCTAATATTTGGCGTGCCCGAAACAGGGACCACCACCTTGGGAACAAACCACCTCTGGTATATAAAAAAATAGACTATTCAAGGGATGAAGGCTCGTACCCCGAAGGTTGTTGTACCCCGAAAGGCTCCCCGTAATGTACTCCTAGTATGGACCTTACACTCTTTTCGGGATCCTCAAGAAGGGACCCCAAAACCCAAGAGTACAACCTGAAGGGTGCAAGGTAGAACCCCTAGAACTATGTTGCGATCTTAGTTTCTCTTCTTGCTTATCTGGGCTGGCCGCTAAGCGCTTTGAAAAACATCTGTATCTAGGGCCCCTTATCAACCCCAAAAGGGAAAATGGGAAAGTATCCCACAAGGCGCAACCTAGTTACTTCAGTACCCTAAACCTTTGAACCCTAAA